TACAAAAGAATGGCTCCCAATACATAGGTGAAACCTTCTGTCACAGGTCAGCACAAATAAGGAATCATTCCCACATTAGCTTTTTCAACTTGATTTAGTCCAGAAGGATTGGAATGGCCCTCATCATCCAGAGCCAGCACAGCCATTGGTGAGGATGATGGGCCTGATATCCAAACTAATAACTGCATAGCTGTTGCATAGCAACTTGATGAAAAGTATGTTGTGACATTCACATACAAATAAGTAAGGGGTGGATTTTGCATCACAACACAGTTTGCTCACTCAATTCCAAGGATTCCTATGGATAACTATTTCAGGTATGGAGTGATGGTCCTGCTTCCCCACCCCAAGACCTATCCCATGCCTTCCTAGTTCAGATTATATCAAAATTGTATAGGGCAGTCAGGAAGGACAACAAGACAGAAAAAAGATTGGTACCTTCTCTGTGGGAAAAGTGCACAGGCGACTGGGACCATGAACACAAGGCTGCAAAGCAAAGGCAGATTATTAAAAAGAGGCCAACGTTTTTTTTCCTCCATAGGGAATCCAGAACTGAGTTCTCAGCTTCAAAACAGCCAAGCAGAAGTTATGTCTTTGGCATTATTCTTTCTAACAAGATGCACTGGATTTTAAAGCAGTCCAATGACCATTCTCACATGCAATGCAAACATATCTCTTTTCCACATTTACAGATGAAATTTGCATTTAACCATGGTTGCCTGATCAAGCATTAAGCAATTAAGCCATTACTCATTAAATATCACGTACATATTTCTAAGCCACAAACGTAGTTTTCCATCCACAGTGCTTGAGTTCATATTATATTTTAATGCTGTGATGCAAAAAATGTAGTCATCCAGTATTTTTTATACATCCCCCCGCCCCCGATGCCTTATGAAATGGGTGCCTTTTCATAAATCACCAGGAAATACAGATCTGAAGCATTCTCTCATATGACACAGGCTTCTGAAAGTAATGCAAGATATAGAATACTTACAACCCTCCAACAAGAACTGTTTGCAAGGGAGCATGGAGAACCTGGATTTTCTGCCAAGAAAACAATATGGGTGAGAGGATGCCAAGAAAGTAAGGATTCAAACTTTCAGTTCCTAGAATTAGGGGTGAGATCATAAAGAGAACTAACAATACAAATCTCTTTTATTTTGAGCACAAAAAGTTGATTACAAATCTACAACAAGCCTCTGCCAGTTTAGGGTTCAGTATTAGCAATATGCTGATATTCTTAAACAATATTAGGAGAAGCTATCAACATCCTGACTTGGTATCTAGAAGCTTTGAAGAATTGAATGGGACAAAAAGGCTGAATTCAAGCAAGGGCAGAGTTTTGGTTTGTTTTAGTTTTTATTATGAATTTTTTAATTTATTGAATAAATGACCATTATATTAATTCTGATAGCATGCTTAGCCTAACCGAATCAGCCACAGTATGGCTTACTGTGGTATGCAAGTATAACAAACAAGCTTTTGCTGGTATTCTACATAATTTTGAACAGTACCAACTAGATGCTTTTTGGGACTTTCCATAATGACTTTTTAAAAAATCATAATAACAATAAATAATGTATGTGATTTATTTATATAATAAACATATAGACTATTTCATATACATGACCCTGGAGAACTTATAATTAAAACCGAGTTAAAAAAATAATAAAACCAACCCAAAAGTAAAAATAACTTGCTCCAATTGCTTTGTTTTCTATTGGAGGCTTGCCTTGTTTTTCTTGTTTCTGCTGGTAGCAGTAGATTTGGTACTGAGTTATGTGCAGATGATCTATTTCAAACCTTTAACAAATGTAATATATTGCCAAAGTGAGGAATACATAGACCTTCTGGTAGCTATCTAGTTATCTGCATAACTATCTAAAATTTCTGACTTATTATTTAAGCAAGAGTAAACTACTGCAATTCATTCCATTTCCTGAGTAGCTTACCTTCATGAATGGATATTTCTCTAATGCCTCCATGATAATAGGCAATAAAACTAAAAAGAAAAAATGATTTTATTTTCATTGAATCAAGTCTGTCTCACATCTCCACTCAGTGATGTAATGGATAAGATGCACTGGATTGGGCCACTACTAATCATTCTGTGAGTTATGAACACTTTCTTCCCATGTTCTGGGATAATTCTTAATAATCTTAATGTATCCTTATTTAGGGGAACAAAATGCAATATGTAGATGTGGTGTTACATAAAATCTGGTAGCTTATTTCCCCAAGAAAGTAGAACATAATATTGTTCAGTAACAGCTTTGATCACACCTCTGAATGTTTGTACTATGGCTCATAATAGCATTTTAAAAAGTTTATAATCAATACATGGTCAAATGCTTATCACACTTGAAGCTAGGTATTTTTAACAAACTCCATTTCATTTTTTCATGAATTATGTTGGCATCCTACTGGACTTCGCCATGCACATAACCACCCATACGGAGAATTAAGATACCGTAAATAGATTTTGCTCTGAATTTTTAAATCTGAACCATAACAACCTAAATAAATTAATGCTACAGTTTAGAAATTCCTTAATCTGACATCTTTAAATGGGTAGATTAAAGCCCTAATCATCCCCA